GAAGCCCCTCTTCTGCCATTTATTTGGAAAGAACAGCTGCCACTTACTATATTATTTGCAGAATCTGACCTTTCCTTCTCGTGTTTCAAGAGGCAGGATTTTGTTTTAGAATATTGGACGGGGCTGGAGAACAAGTGGGATGCAACACTGCCAGCACTGCCCGCCTCTCGGGTGGCTCCTGACCCCCTGTGCTCCCCGCGAGTGAGGTGGCAGTGGAAACCAGGTGGGAAACATTGGGACCCAGCTGCAACGGCGATTGGACTGTTTAAAAAGCAAACAAGCAAAAAGCACCTGTTAGCAGAATCAACAATGGTAGTACCAACCTACATGGCCAACAGCTGACACAGTTGAGCTGTCATTTGCCCCCATCGAGACTGAGTATGCGACTTAGCGACTAAACAACAGCAGGCTGAGTCCCAGCTCCCTGCGTTCCAGTTAAATGAATGCATTTCTTCTTTCCATGGTGTTTCTTTCCCTGCCCTGCGTATCTAGTGCTGGCATTGCTTATCACTGTGCTCTCTACTTGTTCCAACTACCTTCCCCGCCCAGCTGGTTCACACTCACTGCAGCTGAGCCACACACCCTGCCCCCCAAGACCCCTGGGCTTAAGCCAGAAATACAAAGTACAGCTGCAGTGGAGAGAAGGGGAGACTCCCTGCAGACCTGCTCCCTCCAGGGCTGAGGCCAAAAGAAGGCCAAAGGGCAGGAGGCCATTTCTCTGAATTGGTAAAAAAAAAAAAGAAAGTAAGAAAATTACACAGTTTCATTTTCTTTTTTTTTTAATTTTTAATTGGAATTTTAAAAAAACTTTTTTATTTGGGGTTTTTTGGTCGTGCCGCATGGCATGCGGAATGTTAGTTCCCCAACCAGGGATCGAACCCATACCCCCTGCATTGGAAACTCAAAGCCTTAACCACTGGACCTCTGGGGAAGTCCCCAGGCTTGTTTCTCTATTGCAGTAATCAAGAAAAACCCAAAGGCTTCTGGCTATGCCTCTTCGTGCCTCTGTTCCTCAGTCTGCATCCCTCGACCTTGTGCCATCTTCAGGACTCCTTGCTCCCCACCCTGCCCTCACCCTGAATGCAGAAGTTACTTTAACCTCTTTTAGCCTGGGGTTCATTGTTGTTCAGTTACTCAGGAGCATCCAATTCTCTGTGACCCCATGGACTGCAGCATGCCCGGCTTCCCTGTCCTTCACCATCTCCCGGAGTTCTAAAATCAGTTCCAGGTCTAAAATTCTGTGATTCTGTAACTTCCCCGGAGTCAGAAATGTTTAAACCACACCTCTGAAATGTAAACGCACTCTTAAACATAAGTGCCGCATTTTTATTCTCCTTTAGTGACTTGACTAAAGTGCTAACTTGCTTCAGTCGTGTCCAATTCTTTGTGATCATATGGACTGTGGCCGGCCAGGCTCCTCTGTCCCTGAGATTCTACAGCCAAGAATAATGGAATGGGTTGCCAGGCTTTCTTCCAGGGGATCTTTCCACCTCAGGGATTAAACCCAAGTCTCTCACATCTCTTTCATTGGTAGGCAGGTTCTTCACCACTAGGGCCCCTTGGGGAGCCCTTGACTAAAGTGAGAATTTCAAAAACTTGCTGAAGGGACCATGGATGACAGAGTCCATGACCTACACCATTGCATGATCCACTCTTCCTCCAAGTGATATTTAGGAGCTTAATAACAAATGTGCTATAAAAAGAGGTGGATTTCATACACAAGGCTTCCTTCAGAAAATTCCTTCTTAGGATCTCTTTTAAAGAACTCCCACTAGCCACTTGGAAATGAAAGCCAACACCCCAGTAAAAGGTGTAACATATCAAAATTCCACCTCAACCATCACTTTCTACCCACTCCCCACCATACCCCACCCGCAGCTCGCCAGTCAAAATCATTGACTTCCAAGCCTTTTTACTACAGTCCACAATTAGAAATACATTTTATATTCAGACCTAATATACACCCCACATAATACACACATATAGTTATTTACTATTGGGGAAAATGCATCACACTCTTATTTTCTATTACATTCTTTTTGTTGTAGTTGTTTTTAATGCTGATCACAACCCACTGAAATTATTTCAAGGCCCCCGATGGACTGCAAAATTATAGTCTGCAAAAACCTGCTTTACACATGACTATTCTTGTTTATATTATGATGTCCTTCTAGTTTCCTAAGTCATGACCCATAGTACTTGAGCAGATCAGCTTTGTAGATTGGCCACACACAAATACAGCTTCGTCCTAAAAAATCAAAGTTTGCACATTCAGTGATCTATAGGTCAGGGAAATTAGACATAAATGATCAGCAATTCACTAAAAGTATCAACATTCCTGACTCATCTGGTAGAAAGTGATGCCTTAAGAAATAAAGCTCTTATGCTTTTCAAGACAATTTTTTAAAAAGTCTTTACGTTTATTGAATCCAGAGAGAAAACAATGATTTACAGAATGGGGGGGAAAAAAGTGTGTGTCATGTCTCAATGCCTTAGGATTTAATTTAACATAATGGATAGGGTTATATTTACAGGTTTAAAGACTACATTTGCTATTATTTTTATAGTGTAACCTAATATTTCAGTTGTGGAAAGAGGTCATTAGTAGTTTTTAAAGAGTAAATGGTGATAGTAATAGTTACAACCTCCGAGTGCTATTGAGAGGTGTCTGTTGTTGTTGTTCAGTTGCTAAATGGCGTTCAAGAAGATCTGTTAAAAGCCAGAAATCACTTCACTGCACACTGCTGGCTGAATTATTGATGTTGCTCTCTTGGTATAAGTCCGAACTTTACCTTACTCAGCTATGTCTCACCCTTACTCAGCTAATAAAGAAGGTATTATAGTGATAAAAAACAAAATGTTGGGGTAGCATCTTTCTCATTTTGAGGGTGATCATTTGAAAGAAAACATAAGACCAAGTATCGGTGAAATCTGTGGCTGCTCCACTACTGAGAGGTATCTCATGACCCCAGTGAGTATTAGGAGATTGATTATTTGCTAAGATAGAGAACAGGAAGGTTAGGAGACATACTGATAAATGAACAAGATTCAACATTGCTCTTATTAGGTTGGGCTTCCTTAGTGGCTCAACTGGAAGAGAATCTGCCTGCAATGAGGGAGACCTGAGTTTGATCCCTGGGTTGGGTAGATCCCCTGGAGAAGGGAATGGCTACCCGCTCCAGTATTCTGGCCTGGAGAATTCCACGGACTTTATAGCCTAATAAGTGAAAGTGAAAGTCGCTCAGTTGCATCCAACTGTTGGCGACCCCAGGGACTGTAGCCCACCAGGCTCCTCCGTCCATGGGATTCTCCAGGCAAAAATACTGGAGTGTGTTGCCATTTCCTTCTCCAGGGAATCTTCCCAACCCAGGGATCGAACCCAGGTCTCCTGCATTGCAGGCAGGTGCTTTAACCTCTGAGCCACCAGGGAAGCCTGATATGCTGAGTAGAGAGAAAAGGTCAGACTAGTGATAGACATTCTGGGACCATCATTGTTTATCGTCTCAAATAGTTTTGTCATTTTGGTTAGGAGCCCCCAAATGGAAGCAGGATCAAAACGAGGGCTAGTGCATATGTTAAGGATGTCTCGGGGGTGCTAGATTCATAGGAACTTAACTAGATTCAGAGGAATCTAAATGATTTGGGGAAGGTTGCTTTTTTATTGCAATAAAATATATATAACCATAAATTTTACCATTTTAATAATCTTTAAGTGTACAATTAAGGGGCATTTAGCACATTCACAGTGTTTGCAACCATCACTACTATCCATTTCCAGAGCTTTTCATCATCTCAGCTGTAATTCTGTCCTCTTTAGGCTATAGTGTGCCCCTTTCCCTTCCTCCAGCCCCTGCTAACTTCCCTTCTGCTCTGTTTCGATGCATTTGCTGATTCTGAGTCCCTCATGTGACTGGAATCATACAGTACATGTCTCGTTCTGCCTGGCTGAGTGCGCTTGCTGGCCAGTATCTTTTAGTCCACTTCTTTTCTTCTTAAGTAAACTAGAGCTGAGTGATTTTTTTGGATGGGCTCAGGAAAGTTTTATGGCAACAAGATATAGATAGGTGTGTGACATCATGGGAACACAGTAAAGGAGCATTCATCCATCCAGAACTCAGCTTCCTTGCAACTTGATGTGAACAGAGCACAGCTGAGAACCAGGGGGAACCTTCAGAAGGTGTCCTAACAAATGTAGTGCTGGTTACAGGGACCCAAAGGTGACCCGGTATACTCTTGGGTGAATCCACTGGGCCCTCACTTTTGTTTTACTCTTGCTTTAGACACTTCTAACAAGCTGCTAGAGTTTCCAACCCCGTAGCATTTTAGAAACAGCATATCAGGATGAGAGGAGAGGGGAGCCACTGGGAGCAGGCTCACTTAGTGATAAGAAATGATTTCGAGGAAGAAGAGAAAGCCTGCTCTCACTCATCTTGGAAGCCACCAGTCATCACTATGCTGCAGCTCTGCAGAAATGATATAAAAGCGATGCTCCCAGGTAATCCACCCGTTCATTGCACAAACCGAGCCCAAATCCAGGCACGGAGCAAAGCGTTGTGGCTCCCACACAACTGTCAGGCCCAGTGTTCGCCAATACAAGGCTACATTATGATCATCCTGCTTTAAGAGAGTCTGTCTTAAAGACTGAGTCTCTCGTTAGTTTTCTGTGTTTTGAATTCTGGGCAAGAAGTGCGTGAATTCTGCTTTTACACAACCGAGCCATTTGGAGCGGACGGCTGCACCTGAACACTGAAGGATGCTGTCTCCCCCCTTCCCTGCCCACACCTAGGCGTTCACACTTGGCGGAGAGAACGTGGGTTCCAATACAAAGCCTCTTCACTAAGAGAAGGAGCACCCGTGAGGAAGGAGGCTTTCGTCGTTTGGGGGCTTTCTGTGGGTGGGGTGTGCGAGGGGGCTGGCGCGTGAGACTTTCTGTCCCGCGTCTTCGTGGAGGCGGCCCGCCCTCCTGAACCGGCCCTTCCTCCCCTCTCTCCCCGCTGCAGCACCCTGTCCACGTGCTGCCACGCGATGGTGGCGGCCATCTACCCCTTCACCTGGCAGCACACCTACATCCCCGTGCTGCCGCCCGCCATGATCGACATCGTGTGCTCGCCAACGCCCTTCCTCATCGGGCTGCTCACCAGCTCGCTGCCGCTGCTCAGGGAGCTGCCGCTGGAGGAGGTGAGCTCCCTGTGGGGGCAGGGGCGGGGGAAGGGGCTGCCTGTGGCTCTGGCAGCAGGCGGGGGAAGGGGCTGCCTGTGGCTCTGGCAGCAGGCGGGGGAAGGAAGCAGCGGGACCCCACGGCCTTGTCTGTGAGCCAGCACCCCCTCGCCAAGTCAGCTTCAGCAGAACCTCTTGACTGCAGACTCAGTTTCTCCTCTAAATGAACCTACAGCCGTGGGTACCCATTGAGAAGGGCTGCAGCCAACAATTGGTTGCTGTTATTGAGTCACGTCCCACTCTTTGTGACCCCACGGACCGCTGTCCATAGGATCTCCCAGGCAAGAATACTGGAGTGGGCTGCCATTTCCTTCTCCGGGGGAGCTTCCCGATCTGTGGATGGAAAGCTATGTGTCCTGCATTGGCAGGTGGATTCTTTACCTCTGAGCCACCAGGGAAGCCCAACCAATGATTTACTAGATTTTAATACACCTCATCTGTAAAGAGCCATCCGCCCTATCCTTCTCGCGTCCACCCCTCCACCATGGGAAGAAAGCACACGAAGAGCTAATGGTAACTGGAAATCATCTCTGGGCCAATAACAAAGTCTTGAGAAGGACTGTGTTCCTATAAGTACGTCCTTTTTCGTATTAGTTTAAAAGGCAGTAACCTAAATGTGTTCAGCAATTGGGTTCTGGATCCAAATGAGAAAAGCCCTGCTTAGCATCTCTGTGGTTACTGAGTCCCAGCCCCTTCCTCAGACTGGTTTCCGTCTCCAGTACTGAGAGCTTCCAGCAGTCACAGCAGAACCATGGGGACTAAGGGATGCTGCACAGAACCGCCAGGCCTGAACCCTCCCCATGTCCTGAGATGCAGCTCCTCTAATTGCCCAGGTGGTCCTATAGTCTCGCTAAAGATTAACCAGCAGACTCAGGTCTTTCAGTGTGGGTTTGTGAATTGCAGAGGGTTTTCCTGGGTGCCCTGTGAACCTGCAGACGGCTCAGTTCCACCCCCAGGAGAGGGTGTGAGAAGGAAGGACACCCTCTCTCGCTCCTGGCCCCTATGTTAGAGCCCGTGGTTCCTGCTGTTGTGGAAACACAGCGGGCACGCAGGCTCCCTGCTCATCCTCTGTCATAGCCAGCTGTCCACACTGTGTGATCCCGTGAGTGGGCGCCTTCCTAAGTTTTGCGCCCTAGGCCCTTCACTTGCCTCTCCCTAGTTGTGGCCCCGGGTCTCAGCCTCACTCTGAGGAAGAAGGACAAAAGCCTTGGCTCATGGAAGCCCAGCACCTGCAGCTTGGCTTACTGCCCCGTTGGGTCCAGTCCTCTAGGTCTCTCCCCTTTTATCCCATTAAGAGAAATGACAAGACTAAGTGGTAACTGGGAGGTAGGAGGGGGAGGCCTGGCGGGGGTGGCAGAATCCAGTGGAATTGGGAACAAGCTGGGGCTCTAGCCTCTCTCTCTGTCTCAGTGACCCACACGCTAAAAACCAGTCAGAGCGGCTGTGCCTTAGCCAGTCCAGGAACAGGGCAGGAAGTCCAGCCTTTGGCCCACACGTATCCTAGCCTGCGGTTACAGTGTTGAAAGCATGCATGTCTGGAAAGCTTTACCCCTCCTCCCCCTTCAACATCTGTGGCTTCAGTGGCAATGTCAGGAAACCATAATTGGCCCGCTCCGCCCCCACCCGGCTGCCTCTCTGGGTGCCAAGAAAGAAGGCGGCTAACCGTCCATCTCTACATTCTGGAAGCCCTCCCTGCTAACAGTAACAGTCCCTTTTCCTCACCTCCTAGGTCCTCGTGGTCGACCTCGTCAACGATCGGTTCCTCAGACAGGTGAGTGAGAAGCACCCCAGCTTCAACCCACTGCTGGCTCTGTTGTCACCTGTTGTTGTTTAGAGCTCACCTTTCCAGCTCTGTGGGGGGCTGGGAATTGCAGAACAGGCCAGCAGGCTGGGGCAGTCCCCGGCCAGGGCCTGACTGCGGACAGCGCAGAAGGCAGGGGCCAGAGAAGGCGGGTTTGGACAAACGATCGATTCCCGTGTGCTCTGTCACGAAACGGTTTGCCGACAGAATCTTTGTATGGGTTATAACTGTAGACAATTACCCTTTTTCAACATGCCTTTAAATATTTGACAACAAATTTCATGATATAATGTGAAGTGGAAAAATCAGGATAAAAATTATATACATTACTTTGCTGATCTTTTTTTTAAGGATAGAAATGGGTGGGGGAGAAATAGGGGAAAAATACATATATATATATAGAAAGATAGAAAGGAAAACTCACCAAAACATCAATTCTGGTTGTCTTAGGGTGGGAGACTGAAAAGGAGACAGATTATGAGCGATTTTAGATTGTTTTAATATTTTCATACATTTTCTATAATGATCATAAACTACTTTCATTATCAGAGAATGGGGGTTGGGTGCAGTTCAGTCCCTGGTGGGGGAACCCACGTGCTACATGGCACAGCCAAATAAATAAATAAAATAAAATAAACTTGGAGTGGCCACTGAAAAGTTACGCATGATAATGCTGTTCTTTATCATTAGTTCCATCTACTTCCACTTTCCTGGGGCCCTCTGGGTAGGCCCATCCCCACGGCCCTTCTGCTCTGAGACCCAGATCATAAAGCCAGCTTTCTTTTTTTTTTTTTCATTTATTTTTATTAGTTGGAGGCTAATTACTTTACAATATTGTAGTGGGTTTTGTCATACATTGACATGAATCGGCCATGGATTTACATGTATTCCCCATCCCGATCCCCCCTCCCACCTCCCTCTCTACCCGATCCCTCTGGGTCTTCCCAGTGCACCAGGCCCAAGCACTTGTCTCATGCATCCAGCCTGGGCTGGTGATCTGTTTCACCCTAGATAATATACATGTTTCGATGCTCTTCTCTTGAAACATCCCACCCTCGCCTTCTCCCACAGAGTCCAAAAGTCTGTTGTCTACATCTGTGTCTCTTTTTCTGTTTTGCATATAGGGTTATAGTTACCATCTTTCTAAATTCCATATATATGTGTTAATATACTGTAATGGTCTTTATCTTTCTGGCTTACTTCACTCTGTATAATGGGCTCCAGTTTCATCCATCTCATTAGAACTGATTCAAATGAATTCTTTTTAATGGCTGAGTAATATTCCATGGTGTATATGTACCACAGCTTCCTTATCCATTCGTCTGCTGATGGGCATCTAGGTTGCTTCCATGTCCTGGCTATTATAAACAGTGCTGTGATGAACATTGGGGTGCACATGTCTCTTTCAGATCTGGTTTCCTCAGTGTGTATGCCCAGAAATGGGATTGCTGGGTCATATGGCAGTTCTATTTCCAGCTTTTTAAGAAATCTCCACACTGTTTTCCATAGTGGCTGTACTAGTTTGCATTCCCACCAACAGTGTAAGAGGGTTCCCTTTTCTCCACACCCTCTCCAGCATTTATTGCTTGTAGACTTTTGGATAGCAGCCATCCTGACTGGCGTGTAATGGTACCTCATTGTGGTTTTGATTTGTATTTCTCTGATAATGAGTGATGTTGAGCATCTTTTCATGTGTTTTTTAGCCATGTATATGTCTTCCTTGGAGAAATGTCTGTTTATTTCTTTGGCCCATTTTTTTATTGGATCATTTATTTTTCTGGAATTGAGCTGCAGGAGTTGCTTGTATATTTTTGAGATTAATCCTTTGTCTGTTGCTTCGTTTGCTATTATTTTCTCCCAATCTGAGGGCTGTCTTTTCACCTTGCTTATAGTTTCCTTTGTTGTGCAAAAGCTTTTAAGTTTCATTAGGTCCCATTTGTTTATTTTTGCTTTTGTTTCTAATATTCTGGGATGTGGGTCATAGAGGATCCTGCTGTGATTTATGTCGGAGAGTGTTTTGCCTATGTTCTCCTCTAGGAGTTTTATAGTTTCTGGTCTTACATTTAGATCTTTAATCCATTTTGAGTTTGTTTTTGTGTATGGTATTAGAAAGTGTTCTAGTTTCATTCTTTTGCAGGTGGTTGACCAGTTTTCCCAGCACCACTTGTTAAAGAGGTTGTATGTTTTCCATTGTATATCCTTGCCTCCTTTGTCGAAGATAAGGTGACCACAGGTTCGTGGATTTATCTCTGGGCTTTCTATTCTGTTTCATTGATCTATGTTTCTGTCTTTGTGCCAGTACCATACTGTCTTGATGACTGTGGCTTTGTAGTAGAGTCTGAAGTCAGGCAGGTTGATTCCTCCAGTTCCATTCTTCTTTCTCAAGATTACTTTGGCTATTCGAGGTTTTTTGTATTTCCATACAAATTGTGAAATTATTTGTTCTAGTTCTGTGAAAAATACCGTTGGTAGCTTGATAGGGATTGCATTGAATCTATAGATTGCTTTGGGTAGTATAGCCATTTTGACAATATTCATTCTTCCAATCCATGAACACGGTATATTTCTCCATCTGTTTGTGTCCTCTTTGATTTCTTTCATCAGTGTTTTATAGTTTTCTATGTATAGGTCTTTTGTTTCTTTAGGTAGATATACTCCTAAGTATTTTATTCTTTTTGTTGCAATGGTGAATGGTATTGCTTCCTTAATTTCTCTTTCTGTTTTCCCATTGTTAGTGTATACGAATGCAAGGGATTTCTGTGTGTTAATTTTATATCCTGCAACTTTACTGTATTCGTTGATTAGCTCTAGCAATTTTCTGGTAGAGTCTTTAGGGTTTTCTATGTAGAGGATCATGTCATCTGCAAACAGCGAGAGTTTCACTTCTTCTTTTCCTATCTGGATTCCTTTTACTTCTTTTTCTGCCCTGATTGCTGTGGCCAACACTTCCAAAACTATGTTGAATAGTAGTGGTGAGAATGGGCACCCTTGTCTTGTTCCTGATTTTAGGGGAAATGTAAAGCCAGCTTTCAATCATACAGGTCATCTGCCCTGACCAGAGCCCCCTGATAAGAATTAGCCACCTTGTGCGGTGGGGCACTGGGAAACATTTATTGGGTAGCCACTTAGGTGCAGGGAACTTTCAGAAGTTAATTGCGTTGCATTTAATTTCTCCCAGCCTTACTGAGCTCTTATTGACATATAACAGACATATTTAAATTTAAGACGTACAACATGATGATTTGATATACGTATACATTGAGAAATTAGAAACACAATAGGATTAATTAGTTAACCCCTGCATCCCCTCACATAATTACCTGTGTATGGAGGGATAACACTTAAGATCTACTCTCTTAACAACTTTTAAGTATACTTTAACTATAGTCACCAAACTAGACATTAGATTCCTCAGAATCTACTCGTTTTATAGCTGGAAATTTGCACCCTTTGACCAGCATTTGCCCTTTTCCTCACCTCTCGCCCCTGGCAACCACCTCTCTACTCTCTGTTTTTATGAGTTCCTTTTTTTAGTTAATATTTTGAGTTCAGTGTTTTAGATTCCACATATAAGTGAGAACATACAGTATTTATCTTTTGCTGTCTGGTCTACCTCACTTAACATTATGTCTTCAAGGTCTATCAGTGTAGTCACAAAGGCAGTATGTCTTTTTATGGCTGAATAATATTCCATTGGGCGTGTATATGTATGTGTATGTGTACATATATACATACACATGTATATACACATACATACACATCTGTAAAAATGTCTATTCGTGTCCTCTGCCCTTCTTTTCTCTCATGAGTTGCATGAGTGCCTTATATGTTTTGGACAGTAACCCCTTATCGGGTGTGTGAGTTACAGCTACATTCTCCATCCTGGAGGCTGCCCTTTTGCTTTGCTGACCGATTGTCTCACTGTGCCGAAGCTTCTCAGTGTGGACTTGTTTATTCCCGCTTTTGTGGCTTGTGCTTTTGGTGTCATATTCCCAAAAATCGTTGCCAAGGTCAGTGTCAAAGAGCTTTCCACCTGTACTTTCTTCCAGAAGTTTTACAATTTCTGGTCTTACATTTAAGTCTGTAATCCATTTTTTAAAATCCCCATAATTTGGGGGAGAGGTACAAAATAGGAGTTCAATTTCGTTCCTTTGTATGTGGATGTCCAGTTTTTCCAGTATCATTTATGTAAGCAAAACCATCCTTTTCCCATTGAATATTCAACTCTTTTGTCAAATGTTAGTTGACCGTATATGAATGGGTTTATTTCTGGCCTCTCAATTCTGTTCTGTTTGTCTTGTTCAGTCGCTCAGTCGTGTCCAACTCTTTCAACCCTATGGACTATAGCATGCCAGGCTTCCCTGTCCTCCCCTGTCTGTGTTTCTGCTTTTATGCCAGTTGATGCTGGGAAAGATTGAAGGCAGAAGGAGAAGGGGACAACAGAGGATGAGATGGTTAGATAGCATCACCAACTCAATGGGCATGAGTTTGAGCAAGCTCCAGGAGAGGGCAGGGGAGGACAGGGAAGCCTGGCGCGCTGCAGTCCATGGGGTTGCAAAGAGTTGGACAGGACTGAGCGACTGAACAACAATAACAGCCATACTGTCTTGATTGCTATGGCTCCATGATAAAGTTTGAAATCAGGAATTAGGATGCCTCCAGCTTTGTTCTTCTTTCCTAAGATTGTTTTGGCTATTCAGAGTCTTTTATGGTTCCATACACATTTTAGGATTTTTTTTTTCTATTTCTGTGAAAAATGTCATTGGAATTTTCATAGGAATTTTCATGGAATCTATAGATGGCTTTGAGTAGCATGGACATTTTAACAATATTCTTTCAATCTATGAACACAGAATATCTTTCCATTTATTTTGTATCTTCTTCAGTTTCATTCATCACCATCTTATTTGTTGCATTTAATCTTCACAGTGAGGTAATCTGTTTTACCAAATGGGGAAGCTGAGGCTCCTGTAGCTTGTTAAGAGTGGAATCAATATTCAAGACTCTGGTTCAAAGTTGTGTTCTTTCCACTAAACCAGGAACTGTGCTGGACCTGCCCTGCAGAATCCGCTGTGTCCTGCTGGCTGGGATGCAGACACCATCCCCAGAAGTGCTGCGACAGTGACTCCTGTTTTTTCTGCTTTACAGATGGACGATGAGGACTCCATTCTGCCCCGGAAGCTTCAGGTAGCCCTGGAACACATTCTGGAGCAGAGGAATGACCTGGCTAGTGAGCAGGATGAGGGGCCCCCTGATGGCAAACGAGGTAAATGCTCAACCACCTCCCAGACTGCACCCCCGCCTCCATCCTCAGAGCCAGGGAGCAATGGACTATCTGTACACTTGGCATGGGGTTAAGTCAGGAAATGGGCAGCGAGGTGTACGAGGAGAGAGGCTGGCGCTCATCCCTTTCAGCAGCGAGTTGTAGGAAAAACCTTTCCCACCCCACCCCCAGTTTAGCCCTAAAAAATCTGTTTAAAGGTAGGGAAGAAAAGACAGGCTTACTGTGGAGAACCTCTTTCATGGATCATCACAGTCGGCCTTCCAGGGACCTGGAATAGCACCCTTGTCTTTTCTGACTGGTTCGTCCCAGAGGCTCTGCCTCCGCCCTCAGCGGTCCTGGTCCTCCCCTGCTCTGCTCAGGCCCTGAGTCCAGCCCCTTGAACGAGGTGGTGTCTGAAGCCTTTGTCCGCTTCTTCGTGGAGATCGTGGGCCACTACTCGCTGTTCCTGACGGCGGGCGAGCGTGAGGAAAGGACGCTGCAGCTGCAGCGAGAGGCCTTCCGCAAAGCCGTCTCCTCCAAGAGCCTCCGCCGGTTCCTGGAGGTCTTCATGGAGACCCAGACGTTCCGGGGCTTCATCCAGGAGCGGGAGCTGCGCCGGCAGGACGCCAAAGGTCAGGGGCCCCGCCGTCTCCTCGGGTGTCGCTTTCCCTCTGCTCCCCACGCCCAGAACCCCGCTTCCAGCTCCAGTGCGAGTTCTCCTCTGTCCTCGTCTCTCCAGCTTGACCAGACTCTCAGGGACACCCTTTCCCCCTCTGTGGCATCTCTTTCCCGTTTCCTCAGGCCTCCTCTTGTCCCTTCTGCCCTCCTTCCTCACCCTCTCTGAGGGGCCCCAGGGATGGACAGAGGAGGGGAGGCTGGCCCGCACCCTCCACTCCACGTGCTGCCACCGACACCCAGCGGGCTGGCCATGGGGAAGGAGGACAGCAGAGAGCCCCCCTTCCCGGCCTGGGGAGCCCGAGGGCCCTGTCTCCACCCCCTCCCCGTGCCCCGCTCCTCAGGTTCTCCTTCGGGTTCTCCGTGTCTCCCTCAGTGACCCTGTCCCTGTTGCTGGGTTCCATCATGCCTCTAGTGATCAGGAGCGGGAAGTGTGCGGAAGAGGATGAAACCGTTCCTGTCTCTTTCTTCCATGCTCTTTAAGTCCTTTGGGGAATCTGAAAGCTAGAAATGTCAGGAAAGGCCGCCCCAGGTGAGAGCTAGGCCAGAGGACCAGAGAGAGAGATGATTAACCCTGAGGGGATGCCACCCAGTGACGAGGGTCGGGGGTGTGGGAGCAGCTAAGCCAGGCCTGGGCGTCCTCTGGTGTCGCGAACACAGACCCTGAGCTAAGGCAGCAAAGCTCCACATCCCCAGAGCTCTGTGCAAAGCAGAAAGCGGGGCTTCGTACTTCAGATGATTCTGCTGAGGGTATCCGGAGAGACAAGAGAAGGTGGAGACTGGGAGGAGGCACACAACTCCTGATGGAAGAATTCACTAGAAGACCTGCCTGGCACATGGACCACTGTTTGACAGAAGATCAGTGGGAGATGAAAACAGTAGCCTGAGGCTCCAGACCTGGGCGAGAACTGAAGGTCCCTGCCTGCTGAGGTGACCTGCCCACCCCGCCCTCCTGAGTCCCTCGATGGCAGCCAGGCTCCCAGGAGGCAGGCCACTTGGCCAGGGGCCCTCTTACGGGAGATCTCAAGGAGAAGGAAGGACCGGGGCCGTCTGGTTCTTCCCTGAAACCACAGGCCTGACACAGTCCAGGTGCTTGGAAGGTGTTCGTCGAGGAAAAATAGGACTTCACATACGAGCTAGCTTTACAGCTTTCCAAAGACGTTACTGCACGAGGCTGGGCAATTATAAGGTCAGGGGAAAAAGCCCTTTTAAATCTTTTGATTCAAAACATGTTTATAGAGCAGCTCTGTCTCAGCGGCAAGGTTTCTCTTGTCTGCGGCAGTAAGGAAACGAACACGTGTAGAAGCACCAAGAGAAGGAACTAAAGTGACTGGGATTCCTCTCGTCAACAGGTCTATTTGAGGTCCGAGCCCAGGAGTACCTGGAAACACTCCCCAGCGGAGAACACAGCGGTGTCAACAAGTTCCTGAAGGGACTAGGTGAGCCCCAGGGGTCTGGGTCCCCGGCAGCAGCCCCCGGGGCCACGAGGTCTTGGCTAGTTCCTGCCACCGAAGCTGGGGCTCATGACACTGAACTCTGAGGCCTGTGCCCACTGGGCCCAGTCGGCATCTTACCAACCTCCAGTTCTGCCCTGCCCCCGGAGCGGAAGCTAAGGACACACGGCCCTCTCCCGGCACTCCTGGGCCCTGGCTGTGTTGCTCTTCTTTCACTCTTACCTCCCACAGTCTTCTGGGGAGTGGGGCTTAGAAGCATGATGAATGGAACCAGAGAAGGGGGCCTGCCGGTAGAGACCTGGCCCAGCCTCCAGATGACCCTGAAAAGTGGAAATGTAAGAATTTCAGTAAGAACTGCAGTTTAACCAGCCAAAAAAGGCCCTTGCTAGGAAATGGAGGAGGAGAGGAAAGCAAAAAGCATGAGGGAGGGAGTCCCTCCAGTGAGGACGAGCTGCGGTGAGGACAGCCCCCCGGAGGACCTGCAGGGTCGCGCTTGAGCCTCACCCGGGGGGCCAGTGCCTGGGAAGGGACCACCGACCTCCCACAGGGCCGGGCCGGGCATTTGTTCCCCTCAGGACTCCCAGGGAGGCGTGACAATCCCTGCATCCTGTGTCACCATTTCAGAAGCAACGTCTGCAGCTCTGACAGTCTTCCCTTCAAAAGATCCCTGTTCACAGGGGAGGCGCGTGAGGAGTGCAGGGGGCACCCAGGCTGGAGGAACCCCCCAATTTCTCCTGAGCCCTGGGGTGAAGCTTGGGGGTGGTGTGGGAGTCCCAGTTGTCCACACCACAGCTGGTGTGAAAAGGGCAGGATTTTAACTCGGCTCCTCTGTCTGCCTGGTGCAATGTTCTCATTTTCTTTTTTTAGGCAATAAAATGAAGTTTCTCCACAAGAAATAGCCCTCAACCCAGACTCCAGGGAAAAGTTCCTCCCAGGGCAACCGCATGTCTTAAAAACAGTCCTGGCGGTCTTCCTGAGAAGTCGGGTCCTTGGTTGTCCCAGGTGCTGGGATAAAGGCCAGGATGATTTCTGGCCACCCCTGGGTCCTCCCTGGGGACAGGACCCCAGAGCTGCCGGCAGGCAGCTTCTTCAAAACAGCACTGGAATTGGGACCTGGGACCAGGCACGTTCAAAGGGATTGTTTTGGGTTGTTGGATTTGGGGTGGGTTTTTTTTTTTTTTAATCTTAGATATTAAAAAAGAAGAAGAAGAAAAGTGTTTGGGTTTTCTTTTTATTTCGCCAAGGCAAAGACAGCTGTCCTGCCCTGTGTCATGAACCTTTCCCCGGTCCATCCTGCCTGGCAGCTCACCCTGGAGCCAAGAGGAGGAGACTGGGAAGGAGCGGCCCCCAGGGACTTGGAACCGAGATGCTCCCTGGGGCAGAACTGGGGTCAAGGGAGAAGCACCGTGGCGACACCCGCAGGCACTGCAGACCCCATGCCGCGGGTGTCAGGGCGGGAGTCCTCTCGGGGAAAGGATCGGCAGGTAGTGGAGTCAGGTCTGTGCTGGAAAGGAGGACAAAGGACAGCAGCAAGATTCGGTTTCCTGGGATGAACTGCTCTTTCAGCCCGGCCGGTGACGCCACCTGGTGGCCGAGCCCGCTTGTCATCATGTCGCCGACGCCTCTGGCCCCAAATGGACCTGACCCTCCTGGACAGCCTCTTTTCCCCTCCGAGGCCCCAGAGCCCGCCCCTGCCCGCAACTCCACGACTTTTACAGGTACACGCAAAAAGAGGCTCTCTCTTCGTAAGATGTTAATAAAATATTCTTAGGGCGGTAAAGTTTACAGTGCTGCCCACCTTAAGGCCCACAAGCCATGGCCTGGACCCCATTGCTATTTTACTGCAGGAGATTTTTCCCATCTCCGTGTAGGGCCCAGAACAGCACATGTAAAGTCGTACATCTGTGTCGCTACCTGTGTAGGATGAATGGAGGGACTTCTGTTGTCATCAAGAAGCAGCATCAATGTGGGGTACATACACGATCCGAATGAACTTACAAAACAGAATGAGACTCAGAGACTTAGAGACCGAAACTATGGTTGCCAGGAGAGGTGGGGGAGGCTGGGGGAAGGGACAGTTAAGGAGTTGGAGACAGACGTGTACAAACTGCTATATTTAAAGTGGATAACCAAAAATAATAATAATAATAATAAATAAAGTGGATAACCAGGAAGGACCTACTGTACCGCACAGAGAACGCTGCTCAGTGATATGTGGCAGCCTGCGTGGGAGGGGAGTTGGGGGAGAATGGCTACATGTTTATGTGTGGCTGAGTGCTTTCACTGTTCTCCTGAAACTGTCACATCTTTGTTAATCGGCTATACCCCAGTACAAAATAAAAAGTTAAAAAAGAAAAAAAGGAGCATCAAAACTTTGGGGACGGCTTCCTCAGACTTGTACAGCCAGAGAGGCGGGGGCAGGAGGTGCGGGAGAAGGCTGCACTCCAGCGGGCGCTATCCTGCCCCGGTGGGAAGAGAGTCTTGGGCGACACAGACACACTCTCAAAGCAGGCCTCAGGGCCGCCCCACAGCCAACCCGCTGCCTAGTATCCCACCAGGTGGGTTCGCTCTGGGTGGCACCAGGAACCCTACAAAAACACACAAAAGGAATGTGCTCTGACCCTGGCAATGGCCCTGGGGCCTGGGCTGCCTGGCAGAGGTTCTTGACCTTTAAGGAGTTGGGAGCAAAGAGGTCTTTGGAGAAAAAATAAGAACGAGAGGAAAATGAGGAGAGGTCGACCTCTCACCCTATACTAGGGGTTCTTAACTAAAGTCATGGTCCACCAAATTGTATCCAAGATTTGGTGTGTCCATTTGATTCGGGGGCAAGAGTCCATAGTTTACATCAGATTCTGAAAGGGGTCCAAGGCCCCCTAAAAGAATAAGAACATAATAATTACCTAGCTGTATAGCTATGTATGGTTGGGGATTGGGGAAGACCAAAAGAGAATCTCTGGGTGTGGGAACTCAGGAATTTGTAACAAGCGCCTCAGATTAGTTAACTTTATTAGCACCAATATTCTGCTGAAAGATGATCACTTTCTTAATATTTTGGAATATACTTTCTTTTCTAACTTATTTCATATTATATTATTTACTCAACACGTCTCAGTGAATAAATATATACTTTTGTCAACATTTCTAATGGCAATGTAATATTCTGTTTTGCAGATATGATAAATGTTATTTTACCAATCCTCTCATGCATGCAAGATATTTCCAATTTTTAATATCTTAAAGAGCATTGAGAAAAACATCTTTGTAAAAGTTTCTCAGTATATATGCCTCGTTTTCCATTTTAAAGATTATTTATTTACTTATTTTTGGCTGTGCTGGGTCTCTGTTGCTGTGCGGACTTTTCTCTGGTTGCGGCGAGCAGGGGCTACTCTCTAGTTGCGGTGCGCGGGCTTCTCGTTGTGGTGGCTTCTCTTGTCACAGAGCATGGACTTGAGCACAGGCTCAGCAGCTGTGGTCCAAAGGTTTAGTTTTTCCACGGCCTGTGGGATCTTCCTGGACCGAGGATCACACCTGTGTGTGTCTCCTGCATTGGCAGGTGGACTCTTTACCACTGAGCCTCCAGGGAAGCCCCCTATTTTCCTTTTTGCTTGAAGTAAAATACATATGCAGAAAAGTGCTCAGATCATGAATACACAGTCTGACAAACTTTCACAAAGGACCACATCCAGGTACCAAGTCCAAGAGCAGAACGTCACTGCATGCAGTTCGCCTTACCAACACCCTTCCCACCCTACTCTGCATAAGTTTAAACTAAATCAGCTAAGGAAGTGCCTTCATTTTGCAAAGTGGTAATTAAGGAAGGGGAGCATCAGAAACCAGAGGCAAAAATAGGGTTGTGACTCCCTACTCACAGTCTAGGGCAGACCTCGGATGGACAATGCTATTTGGGTTTAGAAACAAAGTGTAACCAAGAAGCATGGGTGTGTTAAATAGAACACGGCCACTCAACCTTTTCATCTTACCTCACACGAACAGTCTGTCCAAGAACCAAGGCCTCCGATTCCATTAGAAAAATTAAGAAGAAAAACCCTTATACATTTTCCATGAAGAGTGTGTATGTAGAGGCATTCCATTATCGTGTTTCAATTCAGGCTCAATCACATGGTCATGAAAACCAGTGGGAGCAGGACTTCTGGGTGGGTTTCATTGCTGTAGACTATCTGAGACACTGGTGGGCGAGGGAAGGGATGAGTGGGAGCAGGTGTCGCTGGCATGTCTTGGCAACTGGCCAGAGGTAGGGAATCTGAAAGAGAAGGTAGCTGTCACCACTGCTGAGACAAGGGACAGTGAGTTCTTAGAAATGATCACACAAACCTTTTCTCACACAGACCAAAAACAATGAGAAGATCTGCTATTTATTATTTCTTTTTGCCCATTACTATGTTCAGTTCGGGCTTCCCAGGTAGCACTAGTGGTAAAGAACCCACATGCCAATGCAGGAGATGTAAGAGACGTGGGTAGATCTCAGGGTTGGGAAGATCCCCTGGAGAAGGGCATGGCAACCCACTCCAGTATTCTTGTCTGGAGAATCCCATGGACAGAGGAGCTTGGTGGGCTACAGTCCATGGGGTCACACAGAGTCGGACACGACTGAAGTGACTTTGCATGCATGCATGCATACACACATGTTCAGTTCATCATGTGTGTTATTTGATCACTTGAATGTAAGCATCATGAAGGAAGGGACTGTATCCGTTACATTCAATGCTGAATTCCCAGAGCCTTAGATCAGTGCCTGGCACAGTCATCTCTCGGTAAATGTTTGCTGACCAAAGCAACAATTCCCACAGTAGTACTAAGGTGGGACTGTACTGACTCTGTCGCAGGCAGCAAGCTCAGTAGAGATGCATGGGTACCCCTCCAAATCAAAGGAGTGCTTCATCAGGAGATTCCAGCCAGCTCCTGACTCTAACAGCCACTTCCGGTAGCTCAGATATCTTGTTTTCAGCACAAGCACCAAGCTCCTAGGAGACCACATTAATAATCAGAAGGTTGCTTGGTGAGTAGGAAAGCAGAGCAAAGGTATTGGAGAGTCTTCAGGGACATCTCCCCAGGAGGGGAGGGGAGCCTGACAGACTTCCCTGTCTCACAGAGGGTCTGTTCCCCTGGACATTTCCCCTGCCCCCACCCGGCCCTCCTTTTTTTTCTTTCCCCTTTTATTTTACTGGGGGGAAATTCACGTAACACAGAAGTCCTTTCATCACTCGATGGATACTTGGGTTTTTCCCACCTTTTGGCTATTGTGAATAGTTCTGCAACAAACATGTGTTCATGTATTTGTTTGGGCTTCCCAGGTGGTGCTAGTGGTAAAGAACCTGCCTGCCAATGCAGGAGATGGAAGAGACACAGTTTTGATCCCCAGGTCAGGAAGATTCCCCCAGAGGAGGGCTTGGCAACCTACTCCAGTATTCTGGCCTGGAGAATTCCATAGACAGAGCAGCTTGGCAGGCTATAGTCCGTAGGGTTGCAGAGTCGGACACAACTGAAGCAACTTAATGCACACACACACCTTTGTCGGAGTAGTGGACTGAGTTGTTCGTGCTCAATTGTGTCTATCTGTGTAACCCCTTGGACCACAGCCCTCCAGCCTGCCCTGTCCATGGGACTGACTCTCCAGGCAAGAATACTGGAGTGGGTTGCCATTTCCTCTTCCAGGGGATCTTCCTGACCTAGGATGGAACCCGCATCTACTGCGTCTTCTGCACTGGCAGGCAGATTCTTTACCATGGAGCCACCTGGGAAACCCATTGGTTTGAGTATCTGTTTTCAATTTCTTTAAGTGTATACCTACGGGTGGAATTGCCAAGTCATAGGTTAATATCTACGTTTAAATTTTTGAAGCACCGTCAAAGTGTTTTCCACAGAGTTTACATGATTTTATACGCCTGCCCACAAGGTATGAAGGGTGCCCCCTTTCCTATGTTCCCTCCCTTTCTTCAGATTCCAGCTTTTTTAGCTATATCCATCACCTTCCAGCCAAACCTCTCAGAGGGGATCCCATGTGTCTCAGAGGTGATTGGCATCACCTGCATCAGATCCACCTAGGATATTAAGTACAGATGCCTGGAATTCACCTTGACTTATCTGGGACTAAGGCCCTAGAGCCCTTGATTGGCTGCAAGTTTCCCAAATACCTTCAAGTACTTACAGGTTTCTGTCTTAGATGACTCACTTCTTCAGGTGACCCAATCTCCTCCCTTATATGTAAGTTATCCTGTAAGTTTCACTCACAGAGAGTAATCTTAGGGCCAAGTTTTGAAATTAAGACTTTTGCATGCATGGCCCAAGTTCAGTATTACATAAGAGCTGAAATGCTTTAAAGAACAAAAATATTGATGAAAGCCTACAAGAGGCCACAGACCTAGTGAATTCAGGTTGTGGTTTTTTTTTTGGGTGGGGGGGGTGCAGTGGTAAAGAATCTACCTGTCATTGCAGGAGACCCAGGTTCAATTCCTGGGTCAGGAAGATCCCCCAGAGAAGGAAATAGAAACCCACTCCAGTATTCTTGCCTGGAGAACCCTAAGGACAGAGGAGCCTGATGGGCTACAGTCCATGGAGTCACAAAGAGTTGGACATGACTGAGCACACATATTAACCACCTTGCCTAGGATTAAAAGCAAACCCACTGTGGTACAGGTTGACCCCCCCCCCCCGCAAAAGTCCTGAGGAGAGATGCTGCGGGAGTGAACTCAGAGGAGGG